AATGCCTTTCATAACAGCAGATAGGGGCAGAATTTATCTTTTTAGAACAACCAGAGTTTCCGAAGTTGCCCTGAAACAGGGATGGGTTAGAATCAGCTAATATGTTTAACATCTGATAATGTTCCTACCTTAGACTAAGTTTTGCTTTGCTTTACTTGAGGGGACAAATGGCTGAACAAACTGGAAGGAAACCTGTGACCCAGGCAGGATCACAGATATCACAGTAAGGATGGGAAAGGAGGAAAGCCAACTAAGGAAAAATGTGTTGGACGTTTAAAGCTAGAAATACTAAACCTGCAGACTACCACAAGAGAAACATATTGTGGGACCCTCAAGGCAGTGAAAATTAGGGGAAAGTAAGTAATACCTTTGGATTACCTGAAGGAATAAGACACATGCCTTTTGAAACAAACAATGGTATTTGATTGGGTACCCATAAGAAGCAGGGACTAAGAAAACCTCATTCAGATACTAGAACGCCGAGAATTAAAGTTTGTAGATTTCAATGTGGACAAAAAGGGTGAGGTCCTGGATACAAGCCATTTTCACCATGTCCAGAATTAACAGAGGAAATTAGTCTCTATTTTATACACAAGAGAAAAGCAAAAGATGTCAGTTAATCTCATTACATGATAAGAAAACACAGATATTCAGCTTCTGATAAAGTTCATACTGATTCTTTCTGAATTGCATGCCAGAGCAATGGATGGCATCATTTCCTAAACCTATTAGACGAAAGCTCAACATGGAGCATAATTTGATTTAGATAAATCCAGACTCTCAGGAATCAGAGCACTGATTTTTATCACTTGGTTAAGGGTGCCATACTATTGACGTTGAAGTTACAAGTACAATACACTTATGGGCAAGTTTTGTAGCTGTGGACAATAAGACAGTATTCTAATATGCAGACAGCCACATTAAAATAACCTATGCTGGGACTTAATTGTGGGGCCAACTAGGCAAGACATATACTTAGAGTGTATGTACAACTATGGTTAAATAGTATATACAATAGAAATATATACTTCCCCCAATTATTTAAACCATTCAATCTTTTAACTTCTTAGAAATGCCTAACACTTGTTCCAGGGGGAATAAAAACCTGTACTGTGATAAGTACTTGATATTTATTGAAATAGCAGACAAGACTATTGCCACACTTTATAGGATGTGTTAACAGGATAGCTTAATAGGTAAAAGTTAGCTAAATTTCCCATCAAGGTCCAAGAGACTCTGAAGGCAGGGAAATCTTGATCCAATATCACTTCTATCCCTGAACCTCTCAGAAAAAACCAACCTAAATCCATTTTATTTTTGACTTGTACAAAAATAAGGTTAATTCCCATTGATAAAATACCATATGGGCATCAAATCATGTTTATTTTCATACAGTCATCCTAACCTTCATTTGATTCTTGAAATTATAATTACAAAAATAATTTCACACTGACATTAAAATCTGCTCTCTGGGCTCCAGTGACTGAATTCTATGACTTCTAAGGTGTCTTCCGGGGCTGTGAGGCGCCACTATTATATTAGCTTATGTCACAATTCTTGCCATTAATGCTTACAAAAGATAAAAACTCACAACTGTACTAAAACTAGACAAAAAGATTCCCATGCATCAAAAAACTTGTGAAATAGAAAGTAGCTATATATTAAAGGTCACATACAGCTACTTTGTCATATTCAAAAGAAATGCTGTGCCTGCTATCGGTGGAAGTTGTCATGCAATGTCAAAACATTGTCCCAGATAAAAGATTTCAATATGTATTAAAAAGACTAAACTTAAATAGTTTGAGGCTATTTTCCATACATGCTATTGTGAAATAAATGATAATGGGTAGGAATCTATGAAGTAATAACATTAGAATGTAGGATACTTGATATGAATTAAGTCAGTATCTCATTTACAAGAGTATGCATTCAATTAAGTATGTATTGGGGTTATGTCTTAAGCAAATTGCTTATGGTTCTAATCTAGTAGAATTCTATATTTAACAAATAAAATTATTTCATCCACATGCAGATTTCATAAAGATGTTGGAAGGTTATTTAAGATGCAAACATTTTGCTAATATGTTGCAAAAATTAACCTACAGCGATACATTCTGTTAGGCTCCACTTTCAATAATAATAACAACAACAACAACATATTTCAGCGATTTCCAACCCTTTTTATCTTATGGCACAAATAAACTAATTACTAAAATTCTGCAGCACATCAAAAAATATATTATCTTTCGCCAATCTGACAGAAACAAAACACACCACAAAAAGGTATAATTTAATTCTTGTAGCACAATGGTGGAAAATCGCTGATATATTTCAAACAGGTCTACGTCATGATATATTTGGTACTTTGTGGATGAATTGGAAAGAGGATGTAGATGAAGCTAACAAGAAAAAATGTTTTCAATGATAGCCTACGAGGCATTAGAGATAGCATTTGAAGGGCAGCATATTTTGTAGGATTCTACACTAGACAGGAATTATTCTCCCATCATAGTTAAGTTTGTAACATATTATGAAGAGGTTGGGCTAACTTGGGAGGCATGCATCAATGAATTCAATTATCACACCGTGAACAAAGGCAGAAGTTTGAAAACCCAAAGGCAGAAGATTGATTGCTAAAAAAAAGGGGGGGGGGCGTAAAATAAAAGTGATCCATTACAGTAAAATATAATTGAGGTATAGAAATATTAGATAACCAGTTTTCTGAGTGAAAATGTCATTTCAAATAAATTTATTTCCTTGCTTCATGAAAAAGAGCATTCTAACAGCAGTGTAGCCAGTATACAATCACAATGCTGCAGAACATTTAAGCATGAGCTTTTAAAAAATTACAGGGCATATAATGGGATGGCAAACTTACGAAAGAGTTCAATAATGCAGGTATCATGTGTGGTTCCCATCATGGGGTGCAGCAGGTGTTAATTATAACTGAATGGAGACATTTTTAGCTAAGACTGGATATTTTCATGTACTTGTTTTGGTAAACTGCAACTAATTTCAAAAATCTCAATACTCCCTTAAATCAACACGCGTGCCTCAAGTTTATATTGTTAAGGAAACTTACTTTCACTTAGTGACACTGATCTGAATTGCTGTACATATATCACAATGGTCTGTTTTGAAGGAAATGTGCTTACTTTTTTTTCTTTTTTTGGAAAAATGTGTGTTAGAGTATCTTCTAGGGGATTTAATTCTTCAAGTTTACTGTCATGGGTGGTGACTCAAAGAAAACAAAAGCTATTACTTAAATTTTGCAGACATTCAATAAGTGTTGAATGGATAGATGGGTGGATGGATAAAGGATCTTTAAGTTTTATCCATTAAATCTGGTGAGAAAATAACTTGTAGTGAGAGCTAAGGCCTAAAATAAAATATTACAAGGGTATATTCCTGATGGTCTACTACTAGTAAATATCTTATTTAAGCAGCTGAAACAATAAACAATCACTTATTTATATACTTAAATGTATAAGAAACCAGAGGCTCACAAAAATATACATGTTTTACAACAGAAATCTAAGGCACACAAAATACTAAAACAAGTTAATGAATTACCCTATATTACCTATTCAAAAGCAGAAATCTACTTGTACAAGACAGTCTATCAATGACATTTTGCTATTTACAATCCCTTCATGTTCCTTTACTTTGATTAGTCAAAAGCTTGAAACGGATACTTTGCACCATATATTATTTTAATAATTTACGATTAATTTTATTTAGAGAGCTTACTGGAATTGTTTGCTTTTGCACCAGAATTGTGAGTGTTAGCGGTTATGGGCTTCCTGTGGCATTTCCAGGGGAGAAGCACCGTTAGGTTTTCCATACTCCCGAGGAATCTGAGACTTTGAATGTTATAGCACCTCTGCATTTTAACAGAATCAAGTATTTCATTGAAATTTCTTCTTGATCTAAAATTTGGTTTGGGCAATCTCTTTTGTTTTGCTATGAACCAGAAAACGTAATAGAAGAAATAGTAGGAGGACTAAAAACTAAACAGAATGCCTATTTTCCTGTTACCTAGGTCATAGGCAATTACCTCAGAAGAGTTATCATTTTCCCCAAAACTAATATGTTTAAACTACTTTGGACTAACTTATTTATATCATTCCTACTATTTGTTTTGCATGTGCAATGATAAGGAATTTGTTTTCAAAATATTTCTACTAAATTTTAGTCTCTACTGGAATGACTTTCAGAATAAGGCAATTTGGGATGGTTAGGGTTCTCACTACTTAATTTTTGTATTTTATTACCTTGAAACTTTAGAAGCATTTGACTCTTCTGAATCCTGTCATGTCAAATCTCCTTTCGGAAACACTTTTGACGGATTATATTGAGAAAGTTACAGTGAAAGTGAATTGGGGTCAGTGCTGCTCAATAAGCGTTCACACTTACTTAGTTCCCAAGAAAATATTAATCAATGTTGGTGATAATCTTTCAAATTCCAATTTGAGATCATTAACAATTTTTGCATGATTGATTTTACATAAGTAGCTAATATTTGAATGAGAAAGAACACATTAAAAAACACAAACCATACACATGTATGAATACATATTGCAGTTAATAAGATGGAACTCTACACAGCAAGAATGATTTCTCTTGTATGCAAATATGCACAAACAATAGACAATTGGGTTCTTATACTATACTATTTCAAGTTAATTTTAAAAATAGAAAGTGCTTTTAAAATATATATTTACAATTTATGAACAGCGTCCAACCATTACTAACAATAATGAATTATCTTATACAGGAGAGACACCTTAAGAGAGAAAACTTTTCATTGGTTTATTTCAAAGGAATATGCCTATTTTCTAGCAATGATTGGAAGATGTTGAAACAATGGCACCATGAAATAATAATTCAGCTTATAGTTAACTGTGTCGATGTGGTTAAGCACCAGGAGCTGTGTAGAGTTAACACTGTGTATCTTGATTTTACATCATAGCACACTATCAGTTAAAAGCCTCTAAAAATTACTCGTTTCATAGTAAACAGACTTATTTAAAGCACCAAACTGAGTGATTCTCTCAAGGTTAACACCTAACCAAAACATTTCTTTATGTATTTAAAACTATAAAACTTTTTATATTTGCTTAAAATGTGCACCTTCTATCAATTGTCAAAATATATAGTCACAGTTAAGAAATACCCACCCTACTGCATTTGCTTGTTTTACTTCAGCCTTCAAATGGGTGAGATGAAGATCTATCTAGTAAACAACAATATGACTTTCCTTTAACAGCACCTTGGAAAAATACACTGCACTAGCAAAGGCATTAAAAAGGGGAGAACAGCCTTCATACCCAATGGTTATAGGGCCCTGCAACGTGTGTGAGAGCATAAGGGGCCACGGTGACAACATTGTCATGGGTTAATGTTAATGCCTGGCGAGAAGGAATTTGGTTCAATTCATTCGCTTCAGGGCACAGCTCAGGACCCTCATTAGCTGCCTGATCGCTCTGCTCTGAGACCTTAATTTTCTTATTCTTAGGTTCTTTAGCCTCGTACTTAATCTTGTTTATTTCAAAGCCGTGGTGGGGCCTATTTAGGTTTTTGTGCTGGTAGAAGACAAGAGAGAGACGTGTAGGATGATTCCTGTTTGGGTGTTGGACGGGAGTGGTAGCATGAAGCTCCCGCCGGGCACACTCAATTAAAACAGAGCCATGAGCAGGTGCTATGGCCACCCCACCAACACTGGCATCCAAAAAGATGTGCTCACTATCTGACCAATACTCTTCAATGTGGGGCAATTTCGCCTCCGTGGGTGACAGGGGGTCATCTGACAGGGGGTCATCTGATGGAGGCTCATCTGCTTCCGAATGCTGCTCATCTTCCATCAGAGAGGAAGCAAGTTCAGGAGCAGAGGTGATGAGTGGGGGCTGCTGGTTTGGCTCATTAGAAGGGATCTGCTCAGGTGGACCCGCGGGAGGCTCAAAACCAACCAGGGAATCGGACAGGGGAGTGGGCAAAGTGGGAAGAGGACTCACTTCACCAGGCTGTGCGATTCCATCGCATTCCCCAGCAGCAGCGTGAGCATCACTCTGTCTCCCAGAAGGCATCGTGCAGTCGGGATCGCTACTTCTTTCTGGAAACCCGCACGAAACCGAGGCATCGTCCTTAAAAGCTGTTGAGGTCGAAGCAGTGTTGGCGGCCGAGAAGTCTCGGGATAAATGTGCCTCTTTCACTGGGTGAGGAATGGATGGGATCAGTGAGTACATTTGAATGTGGTCCGAACCTTTGAAGATAAAATTGGTTTCAGTTTCACCTTTTTTTAAAAAAATCGATTTCAGAGAGGAAGGGAGAGGGAGAGAGAGATAGAAACATCAATGAGGAAGAAATATTGAGCAGCTGCCTCCTGCACGCTCCCTACCGGGGATTGAGCCCGAAACCCAGGCATATGCCCTTGACCGGAATCAAACCCGGGACCCTTCAGTCCGCAGGCCGACACTCTATCCACTGAGCCAAACCAGCTAGGGCTCAGTTTCACTTTTTATTTCAGGTTGCAAGGCCTCAGTTTTATTCCCTAAACAGAGAAAAGGACACCAAGTGTGAAGATAAGTACGAAATGCTTTTTATAGTTGTTGTCATTAAAGAGTACTTTAAAATATATATATATTTATATATATGGATTTATTGATTGATTTCAGAGAGGGAGGGTGAGAGATAGAAACATCAATGATGAGAGAAAATCACTGGTCAGCGGCCTCCAGCACAGCCCCTGCTGGGAATTCAGACCAAAACCCAGGCATATGCCGGGACTGGGAATCGAACAGTGACCTCCTGGTTCATACTCCATCACTGAGGCTCCAGAGTCGGACAGAAGTGAGTTTCTGGTCTTCCTGTTTATCTTTCCAATTCTGTTCTCCTCTCCCCATTCCTCGTGACATGTTGGTTGGTTTCTCCACACTTCCAGGTTCTTCAGGTCAATAACATCAGGGTAAAACCTTGACACTTTTTTGGGGGTCACATGCCAAATTTAATCAGAAATCCTGTTGATTTAACCTTCAAACCATATCCGGAATTAGATATTTCCTTATGTCCTCTTTAGCCACTCTGGTCTCTCTCCTGAATTGTTAGGATGGGCATTTAGGATGACCCTACTTTTCTATTCGCTGCCCCACTTTACTCTAGTTTTAACCTAGTAACCAGAATGTTAGGTTTGAGTGACATCATATCCCTTTTCTATACTGAAATCTCCAGTGAACTTCTTCTCATTCACAATAAAGACCAAAGTCTTTACAGCAATCTACAACACCTGAGATGCTTGGATTCCCTTTTATCTCTCCAATTTGATCTCCAATTGTTTGCATTGCACACTTGCTCCAACCACAGTGGCCTCCTTGCTAGCATAAGGTATTCAAGGGAAATTCCAGCTTCCTGCCTTTGCCATTTCTTCTGCCTGGAATGCTATTTCTCCAAATAAAAGCACTGCAGATTCTCATTTCCTTCAGGACTTCACAGAAATGCCTTCCTCTTAGTGAATCTCTGTGATGTATTTAAATGTAATTCTTTTACAGCACTATCTGTCCTCATTGCCATGGCTACATTTCCAAGACCTAAGATGCTTCCGAGTGGTGCTCAGTAAAACTAGTGGAGTAGGATAATTAAATTGATCAAGGAAGATTTGGAGGAAGTAAAGCCATTTCATGTATGCCAAAAAGGAGGATGAGGGCTTCAAAATAGATGGGGAACAAAAAAAGAACACGTTGACCTTTCTGGGTGGCTCAGTGGGCTGGAGCATCTTTCTGTACACCAAACGGTTTTGGGTTTGATTCCCAGTCCGGCGCATGCCTAGGTGGCCGGTTTTGATCTCTGGTCAGGGGATGATAGATGTTTCATCTCAATCTCTCTTCCCCTACCTTTCTCTCTCTAATTCTTGGATGAGAATTTTTTAAAAAAAGAACATATTTTTGAAAAAAATAGAGATGGGGCATTTTTTGTTGATTGTTGGTGTGGGTAAGTATGTAGAAATATATTTGGTGTCATATATATAGTTTGAACTCTAATGAAGTTATATTAAAAACAATTGAGCCCTAACTGGTTTGGCTCAGTGGATACAGCGTTAGCCTGGGAACTAAAGGGTCCCAGGTTCCATTCTGGTCAGGGGCATGTGCCTGGGTTGTCGGCTCCATCCCCAATAAGGGGTGTGCAGGAAGCAGCAGATCAACTATACTTTCAAGACATTGATATTTCTATCTCTCTCTCCATCTTCCTAACTCTCTGAAATGAATAAAAAAAATTTTTTTAAAAAGAGATAAAACAATTAGCTAAGGTAATCGACTGATATCTGACACAAATGCCCATTCCGAAGAGTAGCAAAGATAGAGGAGAGGAAGAATACAGTGCAAAGGAAACTTATACACTGAAAACGAGCACGGTCCGAGGCCTCACCTAAATGCGACAGGGATGAAGCCTTACTGTCGTGCACTGTCGAGTTATTCTTCCGCTTGATTCGAGGAATGAGTTTCTTCTCCACAGCCTTTATCTTACGCGTGAAGACTTCTGTCATCATCGCTGCTCTTTTCTTCCCACAACGAGGAATTGGCTGAGTAAAACATGTTCTTTTTTTGCGACACGGTGTGAGGACATCCACGGCCCCAGATCTGATCTTAGCTTCCATTCCTTCCCTTGAGCCAAACTCATCTGTGTCTGATAATTTATAAAGCGGTAGAACATGCAGCTGCTCATCTTGAGGAACGATACCAAATGAGCGGTTATCTTCTCGTGTTAAGGTACAAACCTGAGAGGAAGAAAAAATGGAAAATATAGGTCCTGCACATCCTTCATAGTTATTCCTACCATCTCGTTGCCATAATGCAAGGGATCTGTATTCAAATTTTATGTTCAATTGGTTACTACTGGCATTTTAATTTTGGATAAATGGCTTGTATATTAAGTGACCCAACACCATTAAATTCTATGAACTTATCAATTGTTGGTAAGGAGGCCATTATAATTTTCACTTGACTTTATAAGTAAATGATATTGCATGTTTATATATTTTACAATATTTTAAATATGAAGCCTTTTAGCTGTTACATGACATCTTAATTGCCTGAATTAAAGAGCAGTTAGTAAACTGTTGTTCACTGCCTTCATATTAAATATTAACTATTAAGAAATTACTATTTATAGCCAATACATAATCTTAATTCTAATATTTAAGTAATGTTAAAATCCTTCAGGTAGAGGAAGCTTAATTATAATAAATTTTCTCATTTGCTGTGTTTTCCTTTAGGACTTTTTCGTTTCCGTTTGTTAGGTGGAATTTATAAGTATCTATTCTGCCTTCACTAAATAAATTGACAGATATTCATAAAACAAAAGAGGAAGCACAAGAGATTTCCTTTTCTAACAAGACATATATTTTACTTGTTTTTTAAAAAAATAACTGAAGTACTGTATCTTGATAAATTGTCTCTTTCTGCTCCATTTTGTTTCTATCATAATTTGCCTGACTTGTGTTGTTGTTTTTATAACCCTGACCCAAGGATTTTCTTTCATGCCTCCTGCATGTGCACTGACCAAAGCCTGCAACTGAGGTACGTGTCCTTGACTGGGAACAGAACCCATGATCCTTCTGTGTGCAGACCAGGGCTCTAATCACTGAGAAAATGGCCAGGGCTGTCTTTGCTTGAATGATAAATAGGACATCTTAAGAAAATTGTGTCTGGCATATAACCTATCTCTAAGGCCTTCTACTTACATTGTTTTTATAAATTGTAGAGAAGTAAAAATACAGAACTATATACAGAAAATTCCTAACTTTCGATACTTAATTCTTCTTCATAAACTACTTTAATTTTCAAATTTCATTAAAGATCCATTAAAAGCATATACAATTGTTTCCAACATTTGATTTCCAAGGTTGGTAGAAACAGATGATAAAGTCAGGTAGACTAAACGTTTTTAAAATCTTACTATTTCTCAATATCTCTAGTCAAATTTACTCACAAGCCTTGAAATACTGAACTCTCTTGATGTCAATATTTTAAAATTTAATAACTTAGAAACATTCTGTTAAAAAATCAAATATTTTACTAGTAAATGTTTATGTCAATCTATTGATTTGTCTGTAGAGAGACTAAGAAGGGGACAAGGACTAAACATGAGAAATATAATAAGAAACAGACAGGGTAGAAGAAAATTTGACAGAATTTCAAGGGTTCAGGTATTTTAAGATGGGGAAATTTGTAATTATGCCAAGAACTAGGCACGAGCCTCACGGAATGAATAACAGCAGTGCAAAAGAATGAGCATGAACAGTGGATAGAGCGTCAGCCTGTGGACAGAAGGGTCCCAGGTTCCAATCCAGTCAAGGGCACATACCTGGGTTGTGGGCTCAACCCCCAGTGGGGGGGAGGGGGGGTGCGGTGCAGGAGGCAGCCAATCAATGATTCTCTCTCAGCATTGATGTTTCTATCTCTCCTTCTCCTTACTCTCGAATATCAATAAAAATATATAATTTAAAAAAGAATGTACTTAAAAAAAGCATTTAGTTTAACCATGAACCTAACCCTGCTTGATGATAGATATTTTGGAATGCAGCAAACTCAGGTAAAATATACTAGCCAAATGATGACGATGAACCACTCTGGCTAAGAGTCACCTGGAGAGATTTTTTAAAAATATTGTTTTATTGATTCTAGAGATAGAGAGAAGGAAAGGTAATAGTGAATCATTGAATGGCTGTCTCCTGCATTATCCCTCCTGGGGATCAAGCCCGTAACCCAGGCATGTGCCCTGACTGAGAATGGAACGTGTGACCTCTTGGTTCATGGGTTGACACTCAACTGCTGAGCAACACTGACTAGGCACCTGGTCAGATTTATAAAATCCCAACATTTGGAAAAAAAACTGAATAATCAGTGCAGAGGAGTGATGTGGCTCCTAGTCTATTGACCAGAGAAGAATAAGATTGTGCCTTTCAAATCACACTGTTAAGACCCTGTAGCTGTATCTTACACTGGGCCAAGGAAACAAATTGGTATATTAAAACAAATCAAACAAACACACAAAAAAAGGGACACATTCATTATCCACTAATCTCAGTTTTACAAGGTGAGAAGGAAATAATTCCTTGAAGAAAACTCATTTCCCTTACAAAAGGAGTATTGCAAGATTTCCTCCTGGGTTTTCTCTTGCTAAAATGAAGAAGGAGGAGGTGGAGGAGGAGGAGGAGATTGGTAAGATTGGCTTATTGATTTCTGAGAGAGAGGAAGGGAGAGGGGGAGAGAAACATCTAGTGAGAGCACAACATGGATAAGCTGCCTCCTGCCCAGGGATCAGTTGCGAAACCTTGGCATGTGCATTGAAATGCAATAGAACCAGCAACCTCCTGGTGCACCGGATGTGGCCCAACCAACCGAGCCACACAGCCCAAGCCAGGATATTCATGCAACTTTATACACACTGGCATGAACAATCGATATGCACTAAAAAGATGAGAAATTTGGCACAGTTCCCTCAAAACACACACACACACACACACACACACACACACACACACACGTACAGATGGCAAGAAAAAAAAGCAAACATTAAGGCCGTGGCTAGTGTTACTCAGCTGAGCGTCATTCCATGCATTGAGAGTTTGATCAAGGCACATGCCCAGTAGGGATTGTGCAGAAGCCAGCCAATCGCTATTTCTCTGTTTATTCTCCCTTCCATTCTCTAAAATCAATGATAACCTATTTTTCAAATGTGCATTCTTACAAAAAAAAAATTGAGTTGCCTAGCTTTCTAACGACTATATTGATAGCACAGAATCGTTGGTTTGAATATTAAAAAACTCCTACCTCCTAGCACGCACACCTCCATTAAATATATAACTCAAGAGTTTCACCAAAATGTATGTTGAAGGCTAATTCTGCAACTCTTTTGGAGGTACAGTACTTCAATAAGAACTTAAATTAAAACTATTGATTGCTATATTGTGCAACAGAGCATACAAAATGATGTCACAAGTTGTATATAAGGCCTTAGCCTAAGCGTATAGCAAGGGAGGTTTTAGAATCAAAAGCGAGCAAGGTCCATACCACAGTGCTCCCATTATTCATGTTGTGAATGTCCCTGTGGGCATGGGTACAGAAGTCTACGCAAGCAGTGACCCCAGAGAAAGGACGACCTTCTTTGTTGCCAAGCCGACATTCTCGGGCAATATGTTCAAATTGTATCTAGAAAACAGAAGAAATATGACACAGTATAACAGACAGAAAGAATCAATTCCAGTAAAGAGTAAAAATCACTTCCTGACAAAGTTCTTAAATTAATTACAGTTTGCAATTTCAGAGCTGTCCTAAGCGACAGCACTGCGGTACAGAATGTGTCGTCTAGTGACATTCAGGAAAAGAGGTTGAGGACACGTGGGTAAAATGGTAATTGCTATGACTGAAGGCAGGGTGACTACACTAATGCCCACTTATTGTTTATTTAAATAGCCAAGTCATGCCACGTAGAAAGAAAAATAGAGTGCCTTAATCATGTATGCAATTTTCAACGTGTATAAAATTAAATATACAAACATTCATGAAAAAGTATAGAAAGTACATTAAGAAAAGTAAACGAAAAGCTGAAATTGGAGAGAGCATGTTATGCATAATACAAATGAAATAAAGATTTAAAAAATATGGACTGATGCGTCTTTAAAATAATAAAATATTTACACTTATTTTCTGTTCTGGTACAAGATTTATAAATATTTTTTTCCATTCTGTGGTTGTCTTTGTTTAAACTCAACCCCTGTTCTGCCATTTTAACTGACATATTTCTGACATGTAACCTGTAAGTTTAAGGTGCACAATGCGATGATGAGATACATGCATGTATTGCAAAATGACTGCCACCCTAAGTTTAGTTAACATTCCAATCCCTTCACATAATTAAAATGATTTTGTGTTTGGAGTGTTAACATTGAAGATCTCTTAACAATTTTAAGTATATAATATAGTATTGTTTCATTCACATGTGCATGAGTTCCCCTGATTTTATGTATCATATAGCTGAGTTGTACCCCTTCTGCAACATCTCCCCATCTCCCCTCACCCTCTTTTCTTGTTGATGTCCTTTGAAGCACAACATTTAAAAATTCTGATCGTCTACTTTCTCTTAATTATATTTTTCAATTGTCTATTGCTAGTGCATACAAATGCAATGAATTTGCATATTGATCTTGTATGCAGAAACCTTGCTGCAGTCATTTATTAGTTCTTTTGTTTAAATTGTTTATTTTTAATTAATTAA